CCGGGGGTGTTCACTGGGGTCTCAGAACCTTCACTGGGGTCTGGGGGTGTTCACTGGGGTCTCAGAACCTCCACTGGGGTCCTGGGGTGTTCACTGGGGTCTCAGAACCTTCACTGGGGTCTGGGGGTGTTCACTGGGGTCTCAGAACCTTCACTGGCGTCCTGGGGTGTTCACTGGGGTCTCAGAACCTTCATTGGGGTCTGGGGGTGTTCACTGGGGTCCTGGCATCTTAACTGGGGCCCTGGAGGTTTTACTGGTGTCTTGGGGTGTTAGCTGGTTTCCTGGCAACTTTACTGGGACCCTGGGCTGTTAACTGAGGTCCTGGAAACTTAAATGGGATCCTGGGGTTTTAACTGAGGTCCTGGAAACTTAACTGGGGTCCTGGCAACTTACCTGAGGCCCTGGGGTTGTGGGGTCCTGGCAACTTAGCTGGGATCCTGGGGTGTTAGCGGGGGTCCTGGCAACCTAACTGAGGTCCTGGGGTGTTAACTGGTGTCCTGGCAACTTAACTGGGACCCTGGGCTGTTGACTGAGGTCCTGGCAACTTAATTGGGGTCCTGGGAGTTTAATTGGGATCCTGGGGTTTTAACTGGGGTCCTGGCCACTTGTGTCCTGGCAACTTACCTGCGGCCCTGGGGTGTTCACTGGGGTCCTGGGCATCTTAACTGGGGCCCTGGAGGTTTTACTGGTGTCTTGGGGTGTTAGCTGGTTTCCTGGCAACTTTACTGGGACCCTGGGCTGTTAACTGAGGTCCTGGCAACTTAACTGGTGTCCTAGTGTGGTATGTGGGGTCCTGGCAACTTAGCTGGGATCCTGGGGTGTTAGCGGGGGTCCTGGCAACCTAACTGAGGTCCTGGGGTGTTAACTGGTGTCCTGGCAACTTAACTGGGACCCTGGGCTGTTGACTGAGGTCCTGGCAACTTAATTGGGGTCCTGGGAGTTTAATTGGGATCCTGGGGTTTTAACTGGGGTCCTGGCCACTTGTGTCCTGGCAACTTACCTGCGGCCCTGGGGTGTTCACTGGGGTCCTGGGCATCTTAACTGGGGCCCTGGAGGTTTTACTGGTGTCTTGGGGTGTTAGCTGGTTTCCTGGCAACTTTACTGGGACCCTGGGCTGTTAACTGAGGTCCTGGCAACTTAACTGGTGTCCTAGTGTGGTATGTGGGGTCCTGGCAACTTAGCTGGGATCCTGGGGTGTTAGCGGGGGTCCTGGCAACCTAACTGAGGTCCTGGGGTGTTAACTGGTGTCCTGGCAACTTAACTGGGACCCTGGGCTGTTGACTGAGGTCCTGGCAACTTAATTGGGGTCCTGGGAGTTTAATTGGGATCCTGGGGTTTTAACTGGGGTCCTGGCCACTTGTGTCCTGGCAACTTACCTGCGGCCCTGGGGTGTTCACTGGGGTCCTGGGCATCTTAACTGGGGCCCTGGAGGTTTTACTGGTGTCTTGGGGTGTTAGCTGGTTTCCTGGCAACTTTACTGGGACCCTGGGCTGTTAACTGAGGTCCTGGAAACTTAAATGGGATCCTGGGGTTTTAACTGAGGTCCTGGAAACTTAACTGGGGTCCTGGCAACTTACCTGAGGCCCTGGGGTGTTAGCTGGGGTCCTGGCAACTTAACTGGGGCCCTGGGATATTAA